GAGAGAGAGAGAGAGGCTAGAACGCGATGTAGAGAATGAGGGGCCTCCCCTCTTTATAAAGGCCTTAAGGGCTTAGGTATGCCTATCGAAATAATGAGTCATCATAACCAATAGGATTTTAGAAAATCTGTGAGGTGAGAGATGATTAAATCTGATTTGAGCCCTCCATCCCATGAATCAACCATCATGATTTAGGGTGGTATCTAGCAACCTTATCCCCTGAATCTGTGAAACTAGGATAAGACTAATTAAAACTTAATCTTCTAGAACTCGCATATCTCTCACATGATTGTAGGGATTCAAAAGATAAAAGATTTGGTCAAAAACAAAATATTCTTAACAAAAGATTTAAGTTACACATTGCCTTAGATCTCTTATTTTCAGATTTGAAAATTTTTTTTGTTTTTTTTTAAGAAATGTTCAGGTTTTGTAAATTTGGTTGTCTGTCAAGTAATTTAATGACACACAGACACATGCACAAAAACAAAAAGAGGGAAAAAGTGAAAAAACTATTTTAGTTGTTCTCCTATGAGTAGATGCCAGATCTAGAACTTTCATATTAATCTCCTCTGTTTTATACTAAGTTACTTTTGCAGGGATCTTTAGCTTCCAATGAAGACTCATATATGAGCGATGAAGCGTCTGAGATGGAGCTTGACTGTCCTCAATGCGGTAACGCAAATCGTGAACACATAGCTTAACATCAGGGAGAATTTCTTAAAGAAGATGCGGAACTTTTTCAGTTGTTTTTTTTTTTCTCAAAATATTTTCGAGAACAAGGTTTCATTTTTCTGACATTTTACACCTGACAGTGCCATTAACTTTTATGCATGTCTGAACTGCCTGAAAATTTGGCATGTCTAAAGTCTTATTTTATTGTTGTAATTAACCGATGAAAATAACTATACTATGCATCTACCGTTTAATTTAGTGATGGGCTACATAGCTAGAACTGTGCAACTAGTTCTAAAATGGTTTTGAGATGACTGCTGTCCTTGCATCAATCATTATGCGTAAGTTTTGGAAGTTCACTGATGTATCTTTTTGTTCTAATGAAATTATTTTCTGTTTTGCGTGACTTAGAAATATTGGTTGAATTAGAATAATGGTTCTAATACAATAAAAAGTAAAAACTTCTATTAACCTAAAATGTGGCTTACAGGTATTGAGATTGGGGGATTTAGGTGCAATTCGAGTACCGTCCATCTTCAGTGCTATGGATGTAGGGGGATGATGCCATCAAGACCTGATGTTGGCGTACCTCAAAATTGTAAACCACTCTACACCTTATGACCTCTTTATATGTGAAGTTGTGTGATGTCTCATTTATTTTTTCCTCTGTTGTTTTTCTTGTCTTATTATTAAGTAACTTGTATGCTCATAGGAGATCCGTATTCATTTTCTACCGTTCATGCAGTCGGATATTACTTAACTTTGATATATATCTTACATCTTTTTTATTAGATTTTCTGCACATAAAGATCTGTAAAAAAAGTTCATATCTTAAGTGAGTTTTCAGGGAAGATATTCAAGTATAACTTCAAACTTCACCCACAAGAAACTTCTATAAATTCTAGACATTTCCCAATGACTCTTCCATTAACTAGTCAGCCCCTTCGATACAAAATTTTAATGGATTTTTTTTTTTAATTTAATAGATCAATAAGTGCTTCCATGAAAACCAAAACCTTCCTTATATTCTTTTTGAAATATTTAACAGCATCTATAGCAATATTATTGCATGCTCGAAATCAGCTTGTGTGATTTCTTGGAAACCCATTGAAACAAGATGGAATAGGAGAAAAACAAATGAGGTGTGTCCCATCTTAAAAAAGAAATATGTTTTGCCTTGTATGGAAAGTACTCCACACTTTCCTTTTCATTGATAGTTTTCCTTTTTAATATTTAATAAAGGTGCAACTGTTTATTTAAACTGATAACTAAAGAGTCTCCAACTTTGTTGTTTTGGATACTAGGGTAGTTTTAGGGACAATGCAGCCCATGAAGAGGAATTTGTTTCTGGATGTTCAATAAAATACTTATAATATCTAATGTACTTATTTCAAAAAAGAATTATAATATCTAATAAAATATGGCCATTAGACACCTCATGTTGGTATTAAAGGAAGCAACAATACTTTCAGAGATCTCATATGCGAATCATGCATTAATGGAAGAAAAGAATAACTGAGGAAACAAATGAATGCAGACGAAAAACATTCTTTATGTACAGTATGAAATCCTTCAGATGATACAGAAAATGGGCTCACAGTGGACTTCTCAAGTAACTCTAGAACACTGGTTTCTAACATTGATATCTTGCTAAAATGTTTGGAGAATAAATGGATTATTCTTAGTCCCTTCAGGAAAAACAAAAAAGAAGGAATGGATGGATGGCCATCTTAGCCTCATGTTGCAACAAAAGAACTAGAAAATAAAAAAAGAGACTAACAACAACGTAGTCGCCTTGATTAGATATATTGCTTTAGTTATAGCCACAATGTTTAACCATATAATTCTTGCTACTGGACAAAACTACAGCGGAATACTCATTTCATGATCAATATGTTTGTCTGCTATTTGTTGAGACACTGGGTCTAGCATATAAATTAAGCATCCCTCTATATGCACTATCTTGAGGGCCATTGTGGAATTTCCATAGCTATATTCTGTCTATCTAGGAAAACTGTAATGCCCCTTCATGTTCATATCCTAGTGTTTCTGCTTATTGCAATGCTTGAAACCAGTTATACTATTCCTGTAGGATAGTGCACACATTAATTAAAAGAGTTCAACAATGTGGCACAATACCCAGATTTGACCAGGGAAATAGTTCTTGTAAAGCAAGCGATGTCTAATTTCAATGATTACCTAAATTTGCTGGCCATTTATCTGGCCAGTTGCTGTTTCATTCATGGCAACTTTCAACTTTCCCAATACACCTTGATGCTCTCCAATTTTACATTGTCAATCGGAAAATAAACCCAAGTTTATTTATGTTAAAAGTCATTGTATCTGAGTTCTAGGACATATTGTCCTTTCATATTTTGTATGGGCAGTTTAAATCCCACATCACTCTCTTCTTTCTCACATGTTTCTCATATCTCTCTCTCTCTCATATCCCTATCTCCTCTCTCTTCTTTTTATCTTGATTCTCTGACATGGTATGAGGTTCGATCTTTAATCTTCCCTTTCTCTAAACCCTTAAATTTCATCGTCCTCTTTCTCTAAACCCTAAGCATCCATCTTCCCCTTTCCATCATCTTCCGCTTTCTCTAAACCCTAACTTTCATCTTCCCCTTTCTCTAAACCCTAAACTTCCATCTTCCCCTTTCCATTCATCTTTCCCTTTCCTTAAACCCTAAACTTTCATCTTCCCCTTCCCTTTAAAAAAGGTGGAGCAAAAAAAAAAGAAAAAAAAAAGAAAAGGTAAAGCCTAACCCCATAGATGCTGATCTTGTCGGGGGTACTCTAGGACTGTTCAATCTAAACCTTAAGGATTTTTCCTAGGTTTTATGCGCAGACAGCTAGGTGCACCTGCTTTTGGTCTGTCAATACTGCTGTGTGTGTTTGTTCTCTTTTGAGATCAAGATCTATTGAGAGGCGGAGACCTAGTTTCAATAATGGCGTCGTGGTGATGCTCAGATGTGTTCAATGTGGTGGTGCGCACTAATTCATTCAAGTGCGATAACATGACCGGATCTGAATGGTTAGTATCTCTCTCCTCTTTATATGGTTTCGACATCGTATTAGGCTTATGTGAGTTACTGAAATTTGTCGATCCTGGTTTAACTCCTTCCCCTTTATTTTATATACTTAAAGGAAATTAAACCTGGAATCCTTTGTCTTTCTGAAACTGTAGGGATACAAATCATCTCAGTAAAATTAAATGAGTCTAATTATGTTGTATGAGCTCAATCTGTTAAAGTATCCCTTGGTGCAAGGGGGAAATTGAAACACTTGACTGAGGACAGTCTAGTGAATTTAATAGTTGATACGAAGGGTGGATGAGGGATAACTATATAATCATGACCTGGTCGTGGAGCAGTATGGAACCCCCAATAAGTGCCATATTGATATAGTTAAAGAAATTTGGTAGACTTTGAAAGAATATTTATTAGATAAAAACATATCCCAGGTGTATGAGCTGTTTGAGGGAATGTTTCAATTGCAATGGGGTAATAAGAGTGAGTGAGTGTTATAATACCCTCCGGGGTATGGGAGAGGACCTGAATTTATATCAGCCTATATCTGGTGATGTCGAATTATTCACCATGAGGAATTTAGGATTGCCAAGTCTTTATCTGGCCTTAATTGTGAGTACCTTTCGGTATTGGGCAGATCTTGGCAAGAAATCTCTCACAAATGTTTACGCGTGCATTCAACATGTCAATATATTTGCTTTTCCTACTCCTGACTCAAGTATTATTGATGGATCAATCTTCAATACTGTTGTGGCAAGAGGTGATAGAGATAAGAGGTAGAGGACGTGGTCGCGACTTAGGAGGAGGATGAGGTGATGGTGGCAGGGGGTCGGGGAACTTGCAAGTGTATGCATGTGAGCATACAAATAATGTGGTTGATAAGTGTCGGGACAGGGTTGGTGGGCCTGCTCTGGCAAACCAGGCTTCTCACATATCTGAGAGTGATGACTTTGCTTGAATGGTCCCAGTGATCGGCAAGAACAATCGGATTCTACTGGTAGCTTTGTGAGTTCCCTAGTTTAACAAGTTTAGTACACTTTTTGAAAAGCACAACAGAGACACCAGCTGGAAAAAGCGTTGTTGGGTTTTGATGGGATTATGATATTAACCTGATGGCATTGTAGAAAGTTTAAAGGTCAGATTGGTAGCCAAGGGCTACACATAAACATTTGGCATTGACTACTCTGAAATATTTGCCCTTGTTGCTAAACTTAATTTAGTTCGAGTTGTTATATATGTGGCTACCAACAAAGGATGGCCATTGTGGGAACTATGCTTTACTCCATAATGATTTACAGAATGAGGTGTACATGGAGCAACCACTTGGGTTTGTCGTTCAGGGGGAGTTCGATAAAGTGTGTAAGTTGAAGATAGCCATTTATGGCATGAAAGAGTCTCGACATGCAAAAAATGATACGAAACTGTTATAGCATATGTATTTCGGTGAAGTCATGTATTTGATTCAGTGTTTATCTGGAACAAGACTCTAGAATAATTGTTTTAGTTGTCTATGTTGATGAGATTGTTGTTACTGGCAATCAGCACGAAGGAATAAGTCATTTGAAGAGATATAAAAAATGATATGTTCAGATGAAGGATTTAGGGCAGCTAAGGTATTTTCTCGGAATTGAAGTAGCCAAATCAGTGCATGGAATTAGTTTGCCTCAATGAAAATATGTGACTAATTTGGTGAGAAGAGCTGGCATGTTGGGTACTAGATCAGTGGATAGGCCTATGGATTCAAATGCAATTTTTTTTTTGTTTTTTTTGAGAAAGTATTCAAGTGCAAAATTATTGCATGATTAGGGGGACTTCTTTAGGGATCCACGAAGATATAGAAGATTGGTAGGCAGGTTGATTTATCTAGCCATCATGAGGACTGATATTGCTTTTATTGTCAGCATTGTGAGGCAGTTTATGCATGGTCCGAGATATTCCTCACATGGATGTTGTTTGTAGAATTTTAAGGAATCTGAAGGGAGCACCAGGTCGAGCTTTGATTTATAAGCCTAATAATCATTTAGCCATTGAAAGTTCTCAGATGCTGATTAGGCAGGTTCACCATCTGATAAGCGGTCTACCACAAGTTGTTGTACATTTATTAGTGGAAACTTGGTAACATGGAGAAGCAAGAAACAAAATGTTGTGGCTAGATCTACATGTGAATTGATGTTAAAGACATTGATGTTGAATTTATGAAGATGTATTGTGATGATAAAGCTGTCACTTATATGGCTTCTAATCCAGTGTTTCATGATTAGACCAAGCACATTGAACTAGACTGTTATTTTATACCAGAGAAAGTTGTTAGTAAGCAAAATGTTGTCGCTAGATCTACATTTGAATTGATGTTGTTAAAGACACTGATGTTGAATTTATGAAGATGTATTGTGATTATAAAGCTGCCACTTATATGGCTTCTAATCTAGTGTTTCATGATTAGACCAAGCACATTGAACTCGGCTGTTATTTTATACCAGAGAAAGTTGTTAGTAAGCATCTACTCCAGACGTGAAATCTAAGGATCAATTGGAAGACATCTTTCCCATAGGCCTCGATCTTATTATGTTCCAAACAACTTGTTCCAAGCTAGGCATGGGTGACGTTTGTGCTCCAGTTTGAGGAGTGCTAATAGTCCTTTTATCTAAGTTCTAGGACCTAAGTGCCCTTTCATATTTTAAATGGCCAGTTTTGCCCTTTCATTTTTTTTTTAATAATATATATGTAGTTTAAGAGGTGCGTGAGGATTTTGTGTTGAACCTCACATCTCTTTCTTTCTCACATGTCTCCCATATCTCTGTCTCTTCTCTCTCTCTCACGTCTCTCATATATATCTCTCTCCTCTCTTTTCGCTCTAGATTCTTTAACAATTTATTTGGATTGATAAAAGACCATCCATATTACCTATATTTGCTTTAAAATAACTTTCTTTTAACTGAGGAGCCTTTTTTCCCCCCTATGGCTTTAACATTTTCATACGAGGATCTAACTGGAAAATGAAGAAATGCTTGTCTCTATATATATACTTCATAGATTAATTGTTGAAGAGAAAAATATTCCCCAAGTAGCCTTCTCTCCTCCCCGCCACTCCACCCCAACCCCTGCCCCCCCCCACCCCAAAAAAAAAAAGAGTAACACAAAGAAATTTGGAAGCGGTGAAGATTAAATAAAAATTGTAATTAAAGGGCATAAAAATTGGAAAGAAGTGTCTCATGGGTTATTCTTTCTAAAATTTAAATAATTAATCCTTCAAAAATTGGATACTTTTGTAACCCTTTGGAAGAGGCATTTCATGCATATTGGTTTCTTTTTCCTTTTTCTTCTTTGTAGTTTATTGTTTGAAAAATTAAGCATAACCCCATTGTAGTCACGACTGCTGAGTTTACCATAAGGTGCGATAGTAATTCTTCACTCAGAAATTTCGGAAGCAATTTCTTTTTTCTTTGTTTGATAACAAGTGTAGTCTTCTGTGGTTCTAAATATTAGAAATAAATATTCAATTGAATAGGAGCAAGATAGTAATATTATTCCATAAAGTGACTCATGATCTAATCATTGTGTTAGTGTGCTTATTTCATATGTATGTGCCAGGAGAAGTATACCAATAATTGCAACTCTATTGGGTAAACTGGAACCGATGCATGCCATTTCGAGAGCATCCTGTAATGTTTATCATAGGCATAAGAACCACATTGATCTAACTCTGAATGATTGCGAGTATCCTACATGATTTAAACATAGTTGTGGTAAAATTTGAGGATGTGGAGGAAACTCTTGTTTCAAAAGCATTGGCATGGTAAACTATAGGCATAGTGAACTCTTATGGTTCCAATAAAGAAGTGGCTCTAAACATGGTTCTGGTGTTTTGTGTGCACAGGTTTGGGATGTGCAAAAATATTTTGTGGAGCATATTGGCGTGCACACAACTTCATTGCAGATGGGATCCACTTTATATGCAATCCTACAACTCTCCAACCGGTATGCACTATGCTGCTAAAATAGTGTCCCTATTTCAGGCTTATTAGTTGTAAAATGAAAGGAAAGTTAAATAATGGAATTTCTGTGTGTATGAATATCCTTGTCATAATATCCACCTGTAGTCATATGAGAGAATTCTTGCCTTTTTAGCTATATGTATTTCACATATAAACCATAATGCTTCATTCTCTTAACAGTGAGAAATGATTTCAGTGCTTTCTCCTTAGTTTGCATGTTCTTAGAGCTATTTTGGGGTTTAAGCCGCAGTTCATGTTTTAGACCTTTGGATTTTTGTTCTTTGTTGAGGTTGCGTCTAAAGCAAAATCTTCTCTTAGTCTTTCAAGCATCTTGCTGACATCATTGCTCTTCATATTTGTTGAATATGGTCGCATGCAGTGTTTCAAAACTTGCTGACTCGACTAGGGATTCACCTGAGTCGAATTGGCTCGGCAACCTGTTGAATCTCGTGGTTTGACACAAGACTTGCCTGACCCTTTCCATCTTAGCTGTCCTATTGCGACTCAGCGGGATGTAATTATGAACTTGGCTTGGAACCATGACCAGTCCTGAACGAAGTCAGATTTTAAAAACAATGGTTACATGTATGAATCTGTATGAACCCATCAAGTCCTAATTCCATATGTGCTTTTTGTTTCTCTCACTGTGGTGATCACAGTTGAAACAAGTTTCGTGGTTATGTTTCGAATTTCTCAAATTTGCACTTATGTGTGACTTTGGGTCTGTGTAGAAGTACCCTGGATCTGATGTTTCAAAATGATTCATATTCTTTAGATCAAAATAAACTACTACTGATTTGCCCCTCTTCTTAAATTCTCATTGTTACATCTTTGGGTTCCATAGATATGAGCGGAATAGTGTAATCCTGAACTCTATTTCTCTCATACATATGAAATGTGAGGTCAATCCCTTCTTATTATGGAGTTTCAGAAGGCTTTTACAAAGAAAATCAGAATTCCTGATTCAAGATGAGTTATTTTGGCAAACTTTGAATAGTTAACGAGTTTGTGCAATATCAATTAACGAACGCATTAATTATTTTTTTGAAAAGTGACATCATTAATGTTTGCTGTATGAATGATGTGATCCTCATATTGTTCTGTTTCTTAAGTTTTGTAGTTTGTACTTTGCTTCGGAGCATAATTATGCGCTTCTCTGTTCTCTTCCATTAGCCATATGCTCACATTGATATATGCTAGTCATTTCTTACATACAGGTCTTAGGCAAAAGTTTTTGTTTGGCAATTTGTTTTTGATGAATAACCTTTTTTGCTTGTCATTGTGGAATAAAAAAGAAGCATATGGAAAATTTTGGACAGTAGGCTGTTGAGTTGATCATATAAGAACTTTAGACACAAAAACCTTTGATGCTGGATATAGTTTAATCTTCAAATTTGGGCATGTCGTTTTCTCATTGGTCACTTTCGTAAAAATGCTTTAATGTGGTATGTCTGCACAGCTTTCTGAGCACAGAATTACTAGCATTCCGGGGTCAACTCACGGAAGAAACATCCATGAGCAAGATGTAAGCATTTCCTCCTGTAGTTTTTTAGGCCTACCTTGTTTTTACTTCTTTCCAGATAGTCATATTGACTTGGGCCACGTCTGCTTTTTTTGTTCTACAGATTACAAGAAGATGTATACAGCAAGTGGGGAAAGCATTACCGGATCTTATTCAGGAATGGATTGTAAAGTTGGATAATAGAGAATTTGGTAATGCTACATATGCCCATTACATGTTATTTAGAGTATAAAGCTCAAGGTGATTATGCATGCATGCAGGCATGCATGTATGTAGGTATGCATGTATGCATGCGTGCACACATACATACTCTAAAATTCTTAATGCATACGTGCATGCCCACACACATAGATGCTCTAAAATTCTTATCTATTAAGGTCTGCAGTATATTTAGAAAATTTATCCAAACTCACAAGGTGCTGAGCACTCATATCAGAATGCAGAAAATTTGGATTCCATTTGCCTCGTTAAAGGTCTTCAAAATAGAAGAAAGTGCATCTATTATCAGTACATATATTGCAACTTATGTATCATAGGAATAAGTGATATCAGTGGTTGAAAACTTGGCTAAGGTCATGGACTTGGCCTTGGCCCAAGCTGAGTTACTCAGGTGAATCTGAGTGGGCTCGTCCGAGCAGTACACAATTACAAAAGAAGAGAAACAAAAAAAGAAAAGAAAAAAAGAAATGAAAAAATAAAAATAATTTTAAAATGGATGGGAGTGCATTGACCATGTGCCCAAGAAAGAGAGAGCTTTCTGCACATCACCAAAAGGGAGAGGGATAGTTGGCCATGCATCTCTCTCTTTCTCCCTCCCTCTCTCACATGCATCTCTGTCTCTCTCACACACACACTCATCTCTCTCTGTCTCTTTTGTAAGGGATCTCTGTCTCCACCTAGAAAGGGCCAATCTCTCTTCTTAGAGATCCATGATGTCTCAAGACCCAACCCAAATTACCACCTGATTTCTAAAATCCACTTCTCAGCTTCCTTCTTTCCTCCATTTTTTTGCTCAATTCGTGAGTCCTTTTCCATTTTCACCGTCTTCTGTCTTTTTTTGTGCCATGGACTGGTTATATAGTGATGCAGTTCAATTCTTGAGAAACCCATTGATTGTTGAGACCTTTCTTGACCTGTTGATATGCTGTGTGCCCATTTGGGTGGCAGTGATGGAAATCAGTGGTGGATCACCTTTTGGAGCGAGAGACAGAGAGATGAAAAATGGGCCAGATTTCTGGCCCCTTTTTAGAGAGAGATGAAAATGGGGCATATTTCTGCCCCCCTTCAGAGGGAGAGAGTACCTGGCTGCTCATCTATGAGAGAGAGTTGTACTGCTGCTTGTCCATGAGAGAGAGAGCCCCTATTGAGAGAGAGAGAGAGAGAGAGAGAGAGAGAGAGAGAGAAAGAGCCCAATTTTTGCCCGAGTACCATAGAACTCTGGCTTACTCTCGTCCGAGTACCATAGAACTCTGGCTTACTCTCGTCCGAGTACCATAGAACTCGGGCTTACTCTCATGAGTTCTATAATACTCGGGTGGGTATGGACATTACTTGCCCTTTTACCATTTGCATTGCCCATGTACTCGAGGGGTATATGGGTATTCTCCTCAGCACATGGCCTAGGCTGAGCAACTCGGCCGAGTCTAAGTCAACTTATCCGTGTTGAAATGCCGAGTGATATGTATCGTTTGTGATCTCATGTAGGTGCTCTTAATGGTTTTTTAGAAAATTTTGTTCAATTAACTGGATCTATGAATGTATTAACAAAATGGGAAAAGTTGGGGAATAATCATTGACCTATTTCATTAATCTAGTATGTGTAGCAAAAGTAAGATACAATAACAAAGAACCCCTTGTAGGAACAAACTGCTTGGAACTACAAAATATTGACATAAAGAGTGATATGATTGTCGATCCAAAAAAAGTCTATTTTGTATTTCATGTGTTACGTAGGTGCTGTTTATGTGCATACTTGAGGTTGTGTTTTCTATCATGAGGATGTATCGGAACTTGTAATCTCTTAGAAAAAAAGAATGAAAGAAAGAACGGTGTATTTCAACTTTTTATATTGTGGGGAGATTGTCTCATTTCAAATGCTGCACTTTTTTAAAGGTTAAGATAATACAGTTCTTAAAAATTGCATGATGTTGGAGCGAGGGTTGCTCCTCGAACTTGCCTTGATTTGTGACAAAGGGGTGGCTCAGCCAAATCCTTGGTTATGCCTTTATTTGGTCTGCAGCTTCTATTCTCATGTTTGCTCTGAATTTTGCATATAATGTGTTGGATATGTTGATCCATTAGAGTGTCTCTATGAGAAAGGTCTAGTACCATTTTTAGTTCTAATCATCAACTGGCCATATAATGTGGGAGCAGTCGAGCTGTAGCATGAAGTAGATGATTTACCCCAAGGACTCTTTGAGGTTGAAAAATGTTTTGAAAGCCGGAATGCTGGCCAATACAAGATTCGTGCAACTATGGCCTGGAAAACTTGTATTACATTCAAGATTGAGCCTTTCTATTGGTTCTCATAAATCAATTTTAATTGCCTTACTAAAAACTGTATTTGGATTTATAGAAGTAGAGTATATCAAGGTACTGTGAAGAAACGGTAGACCATTTTTTCCCTTGGCACCCACTTATTGAATTTAGAACCATTTTGGCACATCCCTTCAGCTGTCTGATTGATGGAATATATCATTTATTTATTGAGCTTATTGTGGAAATACGAACTCCCGAAATCCCTAACCACTGTTCTGAAGAATTTCATTTCACTCTTTTTAGGAAAAGATTTGCACAACAATGGAGAAGTCCTTCATTAGCTAGCTGATTTCCAACAATTGGTTAATTATTGAGTGCCCTATTCAAAGAATCTTGCTTCTTTCACTGACATCTTTGGCATTTGGTGTTAGTTATTGTGATGCTTGCCGAGTATCGAATTCAAACAACTTCTATTGCTCATACTGGCGAGCTTGCTTTACATGTGATACCATATGCTTCCATACATGTTTTAAAACAAAAATAGAAAATAAAACTAAACACTGACTTTCTCTTATGATCTGTTTGCTGCCATGTTTTCACCACACTCACAAAGGACAAACGAAAACAACAAAACAACTTACCTGCAAGAGTTACTGGTGTCACCTCCTGCACAACAACTTACCTGCAAGAGTTACTGGTGATGCTTGCCGAGTATCGAATTCAAACAACTTCTATTGCTCCTACTGGCGAGCTTGCTTTACATGTGATACCATATGCTTCCATATATGTTTTAAAACAAAAATAAAAAATAAAACTAAACACCGACATTCTCTTATGATCTGTTTGCTGCCACGTTTTCACCATGCTCACAAAGAACAAACAAAAACAACAAAACAACTTACCTGCAAGAGTTGCTGGTGTCACCTCCTGCAGACTTGGTACACCCGCACTTGATCTCCATGGACTAGTGGTGGACCGAACGAGACGAAGTTGCCCACTCAACTCAGAATTAATTCAAGAACTATTATAGACATGGCTCATCAATTTTCCCATCCTGTCTAGGGCTTCATTTCAACTCTGGGGATTCTTATTCCTCGTGCATGCACAACCTGTCAAATATCTTGGCCTGTTTCTTCGCATGCACCTCTAGTAACTCTGATTTTTTTTCTAATGTGCCAGTCCTTGAAAATCATCTTTAGTTTTAAGCCATAGAGGACATCTTTCCTCTATCTAGCATGCACAACAGCCCATTGAGAAGCAAACTCTCTTCGCGCATGTTTCAATATAGGCTGTAAAGAACACTTTTCTCTACCATGTTTTGCAGCTACACTACACTTGGGGAACTTTCTTCCTTTGTTTTTCATTTAAGGAGGCCTACTGTACCTTCCCATATCAGGGATGAAGTGTTGGTTATGTTAGCTGCCATTAATGCCTTGCGATCCCTTTGTCAGTGTTCCAAATGCAGGATAGGGCTGGCCACAGGCCAGGCATGGGTTGGGCCAACCCTTGTCCTAGCCGACTCTAGTCCCTATACAGCAGGCTCAAGCCTGGCCCAACCCAAAGAGGCCATGGCCCAGGTCTAGGTTAGGCCCTAGTTTTTCAAGGTCGTACCGACGGAGATGGGTTGGGACTCCTGGCCCATTGCCAATCCTAATGCAAGCTTGAAGACAACATATCTTCTTCTGGCGTTTTCACCCATCGTTTGTGGTTGAATTTCCCCCAAATTTTCCTATTGTCTGCTGCAACTATAGCAATCACTTGTTAAGCACAGGATGCTGTGAGCCAAACTCTAAGTTGCCTTCATCATGGTTGTTACTTGAACCAGGATTAGCACCATCATCATGCTACTGTGCTGATTTTTGTCTTGGCCTTAACGTACCATCGTCTCTTTCATGCCTCACCTTCTTCACTGCAGGAACTTATTTGTTCCCCATGACCCTGCTCTAGAAATATTTTCTTCATGATCATTTTCATCTCATAATAGAAGCCATCAACTTTATTTGCCGTGAAGAAAGCCGAAGATCACTTGGAGATGAAAAAAATCATAGATGCTTGCATGCTGATTCAAGGAATCAACCTTCTTCATCCATCTTTTATTCCCATCACGTTTTGTCCATGGATTGCAGCCTCATCCCTCTATGGGTCACATGTCACCCCAAGACGAAACCATTGTTACTCAGAATGGGAGAGGGAGGAGAACCGAGATCAAGAGCAGAAGTGTGGTGCGAGGTGAGCTCGAACGTCTGCAGTCGGGTCTGAACATGGTTGGGGAAGGGATTGCGATCCCTGGCTTTCGGGTCCTGCCGTTATTAGGACCGAGTTCGCTTAAGTTCACTTTTTCCCATGTATTCTAATTTGGAAGCGATTTCCAATGACCAATATGTTTAACCTTTTCCAATTTCATAAACTACCCATGTTGGTCTATTACAGAAATTTCACACCTACCACAATAGTATGATTATGTTTGCACACATCCTCATTTTTGGCTCCACTCAGTTGGGATAGATGGCTCCCACTCGAATATCGGTTGATGATTACATTTAAGAATGCTGCGATACATTGTTTTAGAGAAAAAGAAATGTTGTGATAGCTAAGCTCTCCTTTGCAAAACAAGAAAAAGGGAAAAATATGGCCGTATATAATTTTCCTCATGACTCTCCAAAGTTACTTCATCACCCATAAGACAACCCCATGAGTGGCTTGAATTGGTTTA